AGCTCCCGCACGCGCTGGCGCGAGTCATGGCGCATGCAACGCGTCTGAATGCTCGCCTCGCCTCGCGCAAATGCGACCGTCCTCGCAGCCGATAGTCCACCGCCTGCTAAAGAAGCACAGCGACGAATGCGGCACCGGCGACGCATGGCAGGCTGGTCATGACGCAGTTATAGGGTGTTGTGTGCCGTCAGAGTGACCGTCTCTGTGTGTCAGTGATAGTCAGGGCCGTCCATCAGAGCTCCAGTAAGCTCGGAGACACCCCATTAGTGCGACTCGACCTCTTTGAGTCACTGCCTTCCCGGCGGTTTGGCTGTAGAGCCTCTACAACAAACTCTACAGCAAAATCGCGCTCTACATCGCTCTACAACGCACCCGCCTCGTCACGCAGCCGATGTAGAGCTCTACAGCTCTACAGCGCTCCAGAGCGCTCTACATCTCTACAGCTCTACAGCGCTCTACACTCTACATCCTCTACACCCTCCCTCAGTGGGCACCCTCCCTAACCCAGCTCCCAGGGCCGGGCGGGGAGCTAAAGAAGCGCACCCAGCGGGCTGGATGCTCGGGGACGGGCTGCGGGCAAGAGAACCCTGGCCCTGGGGGGTGGTGCGCGGTCGCAGGGCCATAACACGGGTCTCCGAGGGTTGGTTCTGCGCTTTGCCTTTGGGTTTCCCCTAGCGACCGCCCCGAGCAATACGTGTACTCGACGATAATACGAAAACACGCACCCCCTTCCCGACGCTGCGTCATGCCCAGAGCACTTGGGGATTGCCGCGGATTTTCTTCCCCTGCTGTGAGACAGGCTTCTGCTTAAGAATTCTTCCCCTGCTCACCCGCCGAGCGCCGGGCGCTCGAGGCGATATGGACGGTGTCGCATCGCCAGCCGCGCTCTCGCTACGCCCGCGCCGCCCGCGCCGCCGCCGCTGAACTCCCGCCTCCTCCCCGCAGCCCTGTACGACCTCTCTCAATTGCTGGAGACGGGGCTCGACCGAGAGACGCTCGCGGTGCTGATCGGGTTGACCGAGCAGGGCGTCAATCCCGAGGTGTGACACACTGCCTGCACACCATCCTTCACCCGCCGCCGCCTCTCGCCACCTCATCCAGCCCTTCCTCTCGCACTGCGCAGGCCCTCGCCGCAGTCGTCAAGGAGCTGCGGAGAGAATCTGCTGCGCTGCGCGCCGCTGAGGCCGAGGCCGCGGAGGTCGAGGGCGGGTCATAGCCTGAGTCCCGTCGCCGCATGGTTGTTCATTGTGTCCCTTATTTTGTTCTCGTTGTGTGGGTACTTACCTTTGCGCGGTGCCGCGACGCCGCCACCTGTGCATGCAGAGCCGAGCCACTGGTGAAAGCCGTACGGTATGCGCGACGGCCGACGCAAATTTTCTTCTTCTCACACACCAGTGATCACACGCCTCAAATTTTCTTCTTCTCACACACCAGTGATCACACCGGCACACCGGCTGGGTTTCTCTCTCTCTCTCTCGTTACGAGTGCATCGTTCTTGGCCGCCTCGCGAACGCGGACTGCGACAGGCCGGCGCTGGGAAAGAATGGCGTCGCCAGCGGGTTGAGCCGCAGCGCGTGCGGGGACGCCAACGGACGTTGGCCGCGCGGGAGAGGCGGGAAGACATCGAAGGGCGACGGGGGAGGGCCGCGAGGGAGCGGCGGAGGGCCTCTGGGCAGTGGGGCAGGGGGCCGCGAAAGCGGCGGAGGGCCTCGGGGCAGCGGCGGCTGTGCCCACGCCGCGGTCTCGGGAGCGTAGGGGGCGGCGGTGTGGGGCGCGTCGAGGCATCGTCGCCACTGCCCGTACGCGCGCCCGCCCTCGGAGGTCCCTCTCTCCACCAGAGACATGCGCTGCCTCCCGCCCGGCGCCGACTGCAAGGGCGGGAGGTGCTGCGGCGGCGGCTGCGGCGGCCACGGCAGCGGCGGCTGCTGCGGCGGCGGCTGCAGCGGCCACGCCTGGGGCTGACGCCACGCCTCGTGTGCGAGACGCGGCGGCAGGACGACGCCGAAGGCCGCCGCCCACGGCCCCGCACTGCCTGCTGCTGCTGCTGCTGCTGCTGCTGCTGCAAGCGAGGGCGGGAGCAGAGGGGGCGGCGGCTGGCACTGGCCGCGCCTGCCGCGCCTGCTCGGCGGCGGGCGCGCTCGGAGACTCTGCCGTTGTGCCAGCTGCCTGGCACAATTGGTTGTAAGCGGCGTCGGCAGCCTTGAGCTCCGTGCGCGTCGCGCGGTGCTGCTCGATGCCTGCGCGGCCGGCCTCCTCGGGCTGGATGAG